TAATGTTACATGAAGAAGATTATTCAATTTTTCAAGATTTTGACAAACTTGTTTCATAGCAAAAAAGAACAGGTATATTAGTACTTCTGTTCCATGCGAGAGATTAGTTTTCAAAGCGGGTGCCTTCGTAAACGAGTGAAGAACTAGATTTTGTAAAGAACATACGCAAAAAAAGTATTCCTAAATGTTCTTTAAGTAGTTACCTATGACCCATTTTTTGTTTTTAGAATATATTATTTTTAGTTTACCAATGCTAAGAATTATTTTTTAGAAAACTAAATCATTATTTATTATCACTATTTTAGAATTAAAATAAAAAATTTAAAAAGTAACATGTTACTTTTGGAACCTAATACCGAAGTACCAGTAAAACAACCGTTTAGCACACCTCTGGTTGACATCGGTTCTTACTAATTATTCGCCTATCTACCGGTAACTACCTGTTAATGGCATTATCATTGCCGCTTTGCACTTTTCATCAAAACACTGTAGAAGAACACTTTTTAAATATCAACAACTTTCATAATTTGAAGCAAAGATAATTTTTTTTTCGAATGCTTTTTCAACAAGCTATCACTCAAACATGGGACCATTTCAAAATAATACTTATTTGCAAAGTTGATTTTCAACTGTTAACATCTCGAAATTTTCGCAAAAATTTAAAAGAAGCTACGCCAATTATGAATCGCACTGTTTTGACATGATAATAAAAAAAATTGTGGGAAACTTAATTCCTATATACGGTTTGTTTCCAATAACTAATGACTTCACGTACAAGAAGCTTATTGTCTGCCGTTGTTACCGACATACATAGACGATGACCATGATTGGGAATATTTGCGACTACTCGAAATTGGAAAACTATAAGATGAAACCAGGCTCTGTATGGTTTTCAGAAGCCATGAGAAAAAGAGTGAAACCGAGTCTGACCTATCGCAAAGTCGTGATTGATGAACATTCCATGGGTGGTACTATTTGCTTGTAAATAGCTCAATCGCTGAGTCATCTAAATGTACCGCAACAGGCGTGCAACCTGTTGGTGCGATTGGCTTCTTCGCTTGCACTTTCCGTTCTTCGGCTTCGCATGGCTCGGCACTGTTCGATGGATTTGATAATCGGCATGAGTGGTACTGCAATTCCCCTTGCCTCGCTGGTACCGCGTGTCTGAGGCACAAACACACATTCAACAGGTAAATTATTCAATTCCCGCCTGTCTGCTTTTTTTTCGAGCTCGTCCTTTTTCGACCGATTTCGAGAGGTCTCGCAAACCATCCGCGACTTAGCCCGTATGGCGCGTCGCGTCGGTGTATAAACATGCTTGAATTTTCAAACCAGACTTCATCAGTGTTCCACTCAGTTTATTCGTAGTCGTTCCTGTTTGTTTTGTTTACGATTGTTGAAAGACGTGCTTTATCCCATTTGATACGCACGTTTGTTCCTGCCGTTTTTTGCTATTCGAACGCGCATCTTCGACTTTTTTCTCTATAACTTCAGTGTTTGTGCTGTGTGTTCAGTGTTCTTTGCTTTGGATTAACACGTACCTGCGTTGCTGCTGTTCACTCTTGGACAGAATCGCTCAAACGGAACATTAAGGTACTTACTGGAAGGGATGCGCAAAAGCTTGCAATTTGTCATAATACCCACTTTTGCCCATCTATTAACTTGATGCGTCTTCATTCTTAAGCAGTCAAATTTCAATGGGATTAAGATCGGCGAAGTTTCAAAATACTAAAGAACACAGAAAACACCCTTGATTAGCATCACAGTGCTATAAATTCGAGTGGTATGTTAATCGAATTAGCACTTGTGGCGCAATTTCCGTACACTTCTAGCTTTGGACGTATTTACCACTTAATATATGCATGTATGGATGGCTGAGTCTATTGTTGATGAGTAAGATTTTTTTATGATACTTAGATAATCACGACTTACGTTCTTGTGTAGGCTTATTTTTGTTCAGGAATATTTCGCACTTAAGAGTCGAATATTTTCATTACCTTATTCTGAACACATCAGCATCGCTTCAAGGATATGGATGCAGCATATTTAGTTATCGACTTTGCTAAAAAGTTAAATACTTTCCATACTCGAACTATCGAGTTCATACCAATGAAACGGGATATATGAATATAAGGAGTGACCCGAAATTAGATTTGTGTCGCCTAATTTAAGTAATGATAATAATTGCATACCTGCGAGCAAAAATAAAACAAAAATTGTATAGGTATGCACATAAGACCATAAACACTTCTTATACAAGATGCAGGGTGTGTTTTGTTGTTAACTTCTTCTTTTACCTAATATTGTTTGTTCCATTCGCAATGTACTTTACCATTGTTCGTATTATTATTCATTCATAGTTCGCATCATTATCGACTCGATGGCAGATAGGAAAACAATGTAGAAGGCAAAACCTTCTCCAACTTATAAGTATCATACCATAAACATATCGATAACTTAAGGCTTTTGAGATACAGCTTGTTGCTATTCGTACTAAAAGCGCTTTTATCAATATTCAAAAACGCTTCGGAATATATCAATGACATTTTCTTAGTTTTTTGCTATTCTGTTTAAGCATCGTTTCAAGTTATTACATCTGAAGGGCTACAGCGTTAACTGCGTTTGTAATTCTTCTGATATGATCAGCATGAAAAAATAGTTCTTGATGCTTGAAAAATTCACCAAATTAAAAAAAACGTATCTAAGTGGCAAGAACGGACATACTTTTTTTGCGCAAAAGCTATGAATGATACAAGATTTTACAAAGAGCACACAATTGTGAATAAATGATTAGTGCATCGACCAAAAAAATAAGCTGATTCCATCCGCCAAATAAAAAGTTCTGGTAGTTTTTGTACCATGACATTCAAGAATTCACCACTTGTCGAAAAGGACTGTACTCGATTGTTTCATCAATATATGAGTCTTACAGAAGAACAAATTCACAGCGAGTTTCACCAAAATACATCGTACCATTCTCCCAGTATTTCAAAAAAGATACATTTTTTGACTTTGACCGTCAATAGCCGAGGAACCAAACATTTTTTGTTAATAAAAGTTAGGTCAGATGATCTTCTTTTGATCCGAATAATATCGCAGTACACTTTTGATCCTGTGCTTACGGAACACCCTGTATAATATATTTTATTCAATAAAGTAGAAGATAAAATGCTTCCAAATTGAACAGAGAATTCAGATGTTTAGAAATAGGCTACTAGTAGCGCTTCATCAAAGAGATAGAGCGAGTTCAAAATGAGCCTAAAAAATTACACCGTGTAAAGTTTGTTATAACTTAAAATTTGAGATAAATATCAGATAAATGAAACAACTGAAAATATTAATTTTTTGACGCCCTATCTTGCATAAACGAACATTTCATAAATCTGTTGTTTGCAGAATGTGCAATAAAAATAACATAATCGTTTGTTGGTCAGTTTGTGTGAAAACGCAAAAGCGTTAAACATCAAAATATGAACCAAATTTCTGCTATTCTAAGGCTTTATTTTCAGACTCATTCAATGTGTGTTCTTCAATTTTTCGTTTTTTGCCGCTCCTGTGTTTTGCCCCCTAAAGCTGCCTAAGATCTCAAAGAGCTCCCCATCTCTCTATTAAAAACCTAATATGAGGATTATTACTAAATAATAAATGAAAATACTTCCCGAGCTTGTCAACTTTGTTCAGTACTTAAAATAGAAAACTGAGTCTTCTAAAAGCAAAAATACTATTTGGCAACTGTTGAAATTATCAAACAAGGTGTTAAAACTGTGCCCATCAAATTCGTCATAAAAAGTTCACAGCTTTATCCGTGAAATGGATCCCACACTAAAATAATTTAAAGCTGGAAATGCTTTACGGTTTGGAAAGGTCTAAAAATTCTTGATTTTGGCGAGCAAATACCACGATCTGAGCAGAAATTGGCTCTGGAAAGAGACCCAAAACGTCTTAAATTGAACACGCTGGACGCAAGCAATTTTCGGAACTAAGGTGTTTTTTGATTAAGCGAATATTCGTAAACGATGAGCGTTTATTGTTGAACTGGGATACATTTTTTAATGATATTTTGTCTGCGTTGCAAAAACACATCAAGGTGGTTTACTTGCAGTTTTTTTTCACTTGTTTCAATGCGAATGTTAACGTGTTTTCGACTGACTATATCGGTTTTTTTTGTGTAGGTGTTTATTTTCTTTCGGTGCCAGCCGCCACTGTGTTTTGACATGTAAAGTGCAGAACAATAAAATTAATAATCAGATATAGCGAAAACGTTTATCGCAGAAACGGATCAACTTAACGATTAAATGCATTTATGCAAACGTGCATGTATTTATTACAATTCAATTGTTAGGGTAAGTATTTCGTTACAATAAGTGTATGGAACTTTTAAACGTACTGGTAACTGGTAGTAATAACACTCGTGTACATGTGAAAAAAAATGCTTGATTTATTTTACGAAAATTTACTTTTTTATTTATATTAAGTGAATTTATGAACAAACCGATTTTTTTATGTAGCACTTTCCACATGCAGATATGTTTAAGCCGAATTGTTTCAAAATAGCATATTATTTTTAGGCGCAGTCGTAAGTTTGATGTGGTACTCGAGCTTTTTTGTGTCATCTATCAGAGTTTGCAGAGATTTATGCGCAGTCAATGCCTAAATTAATTCAACTTTACTAAAATAAGCCAAATATTTGCAACTTTTGTCGCAGCTGTGTATTAAGTGGAATTATTAATATTGAAATGAAAAAATCATGCACGATCACTAAATTAAGCAATCAACAACGTCAATAAAACAACAGCACTGCTGACTCCTTTTAACAATAATTGCATGTGGTCTCTAATCAGCCCATTCATGCTTATTGTGGACATTACAAGCTCTATCTCGACTAAAACCGAGTGAAACCAGTTTCTGTTTATGTATTCATTTTCGGTAGAAAAATTAAGTATTTTCTGGAATGTATCTAAAAATTCGCGAGAAAACTTAACTGTTGGTCGTTGTTATGATTATGCGGTTTAAATGCGATTTGTTTAACACAACAGTGTGTGACACTTAACTAAGAAAATCGTTCTTCAATAGTTATTTTATTTAAACCGCCTTTGTTGTTTTTTAATTGCAGCAAACTCGCTGCGAATACAACACAGACAATACAATCAATACTGCGATTTCTGAGATACTGGGAATCAAGAATACTGGGAGTTATTGCTATATGATATAAGGGTTTTTTTCAATCCGAAATAGGCGTAATTTGGGTCTTAGTAGAAATGCCGTTCTAGCGGTTTCGRTGTTCTTCAGCATTCCCAATTTCATAAAAAACAAAGTTTGAAAACTAATTAAAAACTATTGTTCTTGCGACGGAAATAAAGTGAATCATGCAAGTGTAGGTGTTATTCGATGGACTTTATTTTGAAATGAAAGAAAACGCTTTACCGTATTTCGTATAGTGGCTTAGTTCAAAAGCCGTTGTTTAAAGCCAATTTAATTTTTTTTTAAGTAAGTACCATCGTGGTTCCGGAAGTTATTTAAATGTTGGATACTAATCTAAACATCTATTTATATTGCAATTTAAATTAAGCAGGTTGTATTTCCTGCTAAGATTTTAATTTTCTGTTTTTCTGAAGCTATTGGGAAACTTATGCTAACGAATTCTAACATTTTACCGGCAATTAAGAAATTATCTCTTAAACCATTCAAAGCAAATTCAAATAGCTGATGATCAATCTAGTAACTGAAGAGGGAAAATCTGCATCTATAAAACCTAAAATAATTTTTTAATGGGGCAAAGCTAAGTTTTTGACTGATCTTAATATTATTATGTTTAATGAAAACGAAAGCCTTATTTTTTATTATGTATCTACGAGCCATGAATATTTTTTACTCTTTAACAGTGCACCCGTTTAGACACAATATTTAATAGTTACGAGGTTTCAAAAGTTAATCAAAATGATCATGGCGATTTTAAATGTTATTGCTGCTGCACCCAAATGATAATACATTTTATTTAATTTATTTGATTAACTAAAATACCGAGAAATCAAATTTTGTTTTTGTTTAGATTGTTTAAAAAGCTGCTGTTCAATTTGAAGCTGATTCATAGTTTTATTTAAACGACTCTCCTTCGCTAATAATTGAGATCGCCTTCATGACATTTGACTTTAAATTAAGATAATAAAATGTAGCTAACACTGCAAATAAAGCAGATCACTGGCAGACTATAGTGGGTGAGTTCAATTCCAAATATTTATGTCTGGAAAAGCCTTATGTGGCTTTCTATGTGGATACAACTTAAGAGTTGACTGAGCGTCAGCAAAAAACAAACACTGACAGCGTCGTTTGAGCTGTAAGAAAATTACATATCTCAAAGAGAATATGCATGTGTTGTCTAGAATAGAGGACAGTTACTGGTTAAGAAACGTGCAAGTTTAATTTATGGTTTTTGTAACTAAAATAGTTTCCTAATTGGTTGTAGAATAATTTTCTGGAAAAAAGTGTTAAATAAGTTACTCTAATTTCGGATCTTATAATTGAAAGGCCTTGAAAATTGGCTGAACACCCTGTAAAAATGGTTTCCACAGTAGCTGTTAAAAATTTAGGTAATC